ACAAATGAGCCTGGAATTTTAGTTGTAAGTTGTTGCAGTTGTAAATTGGGTTACTGTGTGACCTGATTCAATTTTATGACTATTTTATGACAGTTATTAAGTAAGTCACTACAAGAATCACAGTCATAAATGCAAATCTACCCATCCATAAACCTAATAAGTGTTTTTTGTCAGAAAATGGCAAATAAGTTATAAATCACAAACAGGTGACCAAAGGCCACTGAAACCAATCATAAATGCATAAATGCCTGAAATGTGGCCATGTGACTGCAGGAATAGCATAGCAATCATAACTTCCAGGATGGGTCATAAGTAACTTTTTTTTTCTGTCATACCTTCAAACAGTCATTATGCAACCAGTCGTAAGTCAACGATTACCTGTACATCAGAGACAGGCTTATTTTTTTAGTTGTTCATCACTGAGGGCAATTTTGCATTGCAGACTAAGCTGCTCATCTCCCATGATGCTCCCAGCTGTTTCTTAAATCAACCTCAGAAATCCTGGATTGCAGGGGATTAGCAATGGGGTTTGCTCAGTATGGACTGTATCCACTACAAGATCCAGGCGATTGTTCCTCTGCTACTTGCCCTTCCCACCATGTAGGAAAGGCAAGCCTCAGTGTTCACTGGTTTTCCAGAGCCTCCTTCTTTTTCCTTTTAAGGGGTTTTCTCTCTATTAGTCCTTGCATCTTTCCTTGGCCTTCTCGGATGTTTGCACATATAGATGCCTTCTCGTCCCCTTCCCACATTATCTCATTTGACTCTAAGCCTGACTTTTTCTTTCTCCCTTTATAATACCATTCCTGTTTTGATGCTATAGTAATTAAAGCAACAGGGACAAGTTGTTCTTTCATTATAAAATCATCCTTATGTAAATGGAAACTTTGTAGCATCGTCAGCTTCATAGGAACAAAAAAGTAAAGTTCCTATTTGCAACATAAATATACATATTGTAAAAGTAAGGGAAGAAGAACTTCGTAGTCCTCCATTTATGATCCCAATTGAGCCCAACATTTCTGTTGCTAAGAGAGACAGCTGTTAAATGAGTTTTGCCCAATTTTACAGCATTTCTTGCTATAGTTGCTAAGTGAATCACTGCAGTTGTTAAGTTAGTAAAAGGCTGCAAAGAGAATCTGGTTTCCTCACTGACTTTGCTTATCAGAAGGTGGTCACAGGACCCTGAGACACTGCAACTGTCATAAATATGAGTCAGTTGTCAAGTATCTGAATTTTGATCACCATGGGGATGCTGCAGCTGTCATAAGTGTGAAAAATGGTCTTGTCACTTTTTCAGTGCCGCAGTAACTTTGAAAGGTCGCTAAACGAAAGGTTGTAAGTCAAGGACCACCTCTACTGACTGCAGGAGACAGGAAAGCAAGGGGAGTGTATTACTTCATTCATCCTGGTCAGAAATTGAATGCATGTCCAGTCTGAGATATTAGAATTTGGAAGGAGCACACGTCTCTCTAGTGGTGAGGATAGCACAGTGTTTTAGCCTTGGTGGTGCAGCGGACTAAGTGCTGTTATGTAACACTTAGTTGCCAGCTGCCTGCAATTAGTGCGAGTTCAAATCTCACCAGGCTCAAGGTTGACTCAGCCTTCCATCCTTCCGAGGTAGGTAAATTGAGGACCCGGATTGTGGGGGCAATAAGCTGACTTTGTAGAAATACTGCTTATGGGGGGCCAAAAGCCCTAATAAGCAGGTATATACAAAAGAATGAAGGCTATTGCTATAAGTGCATTGTAAGCCGCCCTGAGTCTTCGGAGAAGGGCGGCATATGAATTGAACTAATAAATAAATAAATAAATAAATAAATAAATTTAACAGGCCATTGATGGATCAATCACATCCTGTTTAAAAATGCAGAGAACATAGTAGAGAACATAGGTCAAAATGGCTGCACAGGGCCTCCTGGGAGGGGAGGGTCATGCAGCCAATCAGAATTGAGACTAGCCCATAAGAAGAGATCATTAGAAAGGCTTAAGAGAGCCCAAGTTAGAAAACAGCCATTTTAAATCAAGCTTTCAAAACACAGGCATGGAGTGCATGGGCAGTGGGCTGGGAGCGGAAAAAGGACAGAATCATCGATTTCTGCATTCCTGCAAGCAATGGGGATCCATACTATCAATGGGACAAGCAGAAATTGTCACCCTGCCACCTGTGTGCTTCTTTTTCCTTGTCTCATCTGAACATAATATTCACATAGTACTTAGTTAGGCATGGCTAGATGTTTGAGGGGTTTGGGTGCAACTTTCTACAGTACCCATGATTAGGGATTTCAAATAAACATGGTCCTGCTGGGAGCAAATCTACTTCTTGCAGCAACAGTATTATTGACCTTCTTTCAAAAAACAATAACAAAGAACAAATGTGATGAGGACAGAAATCTGTTCCCCCCTTCTCATAACAAGTGAATCACTCCACTCATCTGTACCTGCAATCTAGCCCTCAGCACAGACACCAATGCTAAATTCTCATTCTCTGGTCACCGAGGCTTTCCAAAACGAAGATTTGTATATAATTGGCTGTGACTGTAATTTTGGTAAGTCAAGAGGAGGTACAGAGGAACTTCCTTAGCAATCTGATGTGAATGGAGGAGTGAGTTACATTTATTTATTTGTATCCCGCCTTTATTAGTTCTACAAATAATTCAAGGTAGTGAATGTATCCAATACAATTTTGTCCTCCTATTGTCCCCACAACAACAATCTTCTAATGTGGTTGGGCTAAGAGCAAGTGACTGGCCCAAAATCACCCAGCTGGCTTTCATGAGCAAGGCAGAACTTGAACTCACGGTCTCCCACTTTCTAGTCTGGTGTTTTAATCATTAGATCAAACTGGCTAAAAATGTCAAGCATATTACAATGCAACAGACTCCAATATATTCAGGTAAGAAAGTGGAGAGGGAACAGAAATTATTTTTTTAAAAAACATTGGAATGGTCAGAGGACAAGGCATAGAAGTAAACCACCACATGTATTAAATCAATCAGGAAGATAAGTAAAAAGCCTTAAAAATAAATATATACAAATCTGCTTAGGGAAAACAAATTAACAAGACTGCTGTACAATTAATAGTCCCTCAGTAATAGAGATTGCTAGTAATTTGGCTATCTTTTGGGTTATATTTATTGAGCTGTCTGCTAAATGGAAGCAAGTGTTCTGCTCAGCCAATCTTGCATGACCATGAATCAGAAAAGAGTTATTAATTCAATGGCCTTGTCCTATAAAAACAGCATTACTAAAAGACATGTAAAACAATTTATGTGTCCTCCAGAGGCATGGGCAAAGACATTCTTGAACTGGAACATTGTGAAATCTTCTGGCCTTATATCAGGCCAAGGTAAAAGTTGCCCTGTGAGATGGACAAAGGGTGTTTGCTAAGCATATTACATGAGAAGATAATATCCTAAAGACAGCATACCAAGGTGTAACATGGCATACCAAGTAGGGGCAAGTCCTGATGAATACCTATATCAGGGGCCCTTTACAGTGATCATTTTATGAATCACCATGATTGTTATATGAATTACATAGTTGTTAAGTGAATCCAGCTTCCCCAATGGACTTGTTTTGCCAAAAATTAGCAAAAAAAAAAAAAGATTACAAATCATATTGTAAGTAACTTTTTCCAATGCTGGTGTAACTTTGAACTGCCTTTAAACAAGTAGAGGACTATATGTAATAAATATAATATGATAATAAATAAAAGGAACAATGATGGCAATCAGTTCAATACTATTCTGTCATAAGTGAACGAAAAAAATAGAAGCACAAAATCAAGCAAACTAAGAAAATAGGTCATGGTCAGACAAAAACGTTACAAACAATAATTTATTATTTATTTATTTAATATTAGTCCAATGCCGCCCTTCTCCGTAGACTCAGGGTGGCTTACAATGCATTATAGCAATAGCCTGCATACTTTTATGTATATATCTGTTTAGTAGGGCTTTCGGGGGGCCCAAGCGGTGTTGTTCTATACAAAGCTGGCTTATTGCCCCCACAATCCGGGTCCTCAATTTACCTACCGTGAAAGGATGGAAGGCTGAGTCAACCTTGAGCCTGGTGAGATTTGAACTCCCACTAATTGCAGACAGCTGGCAGCTAAGTGCTAGCACTTAACAGCACTTAGTCCGCTGCACCACCGAGGCTCTATACAATATTGTATAATAGTCTAATATAATACTGTATTTAATTTCTAATCAATTTTACAACATTTTGGAGCGGAATTACATAACATTTAAGATAAGGTAGAGAACAGGGCAAATTTGTTTAATTGCTTCAAACTACAATTGCAATGTGGTTCTACGTTGAAACAATAGTTTCCTGATGTTGTCATGCAATATCCAAATTAAGAATATAATCAGCAATTTACAGTAATAAATAAAAATACAGTAATAAATAAAAACGAAACATGTATATAATGTGTACATTAAGTGAAATATATAGGGACATGTTTGTAAATTTTTATGTGAATTTATTTTTTTAAAAAATCCATTTCTACTTTGACCTTGTTGCTGAGTTAAGACTTTGAATATTGGATCAGCATGTAAGGGAAAATTAATCCACGGACTAAGCTTCCAAAGTAATTGACATAATTCAGGCTTGAGTGTTTTTTTAAACGAGGAATGCAAATTTTAAATTTTAAAAAAGTAGTTGGACTCAGGAGCTATCTAAAAAAGAAAGAAAGAAATGACAACAAAATTCTCAGAAGGTAATTTTTAGTAATACTGTGAGATGAGAGAAGAAACACATTAGTATATGCACCTTCCATTAACACCTTATGATCATACTTGTTTTACCTGTCCAATAACATTGGTCCATTCTACATACTGGGTATATACTATAGAAAGGTACTGCTTTTTATATATCAGGTTCTCATTGTTCCAGGAAGTGGGTTGATGTAAATTGCTATTTGTTCCCTCCAATCATTTTATTCTGGTTTGGTTAACAGTTTAATGGTAATCCTTGACATTTTCTCCCATTTTCCTCCTAAGATCGCAAGTTTATTATTGCCAATGCCCAGATGGAGAATTATGCTATCATTTACTGCAATGATGGCTTCTGTGAGATGTTTGGCTACTCTCGGGTAGAAGTTATGCAACGGCCTTGCACCTGCAATTTCCTCACTGGGGCTGACACCACACCCAACTCCATTGCCCAGCTGGGACAAGCGTTGCTTGGAACTGAGGAATGTAAACTGGAGATCCTCTACTACAGGAAAGACAGTAAGCATTCGTAACATTTCTTTATTTCCTCGTTCCATGTACTGGCCATTTTTCTTTTTATGATTCAAGGGTTTTTTTGACAGCATTATATGGTCTGGATAGGACTGCAATATTAAAAAAAAAAACAATACCACTACATAAATATCTAATGAACACAGAGTGCAGATATTACTGTATAAAATAAATATGGCTTGAAAATCAGTATTGAAAATTCTAAATGAAGATGGCTACTTTACAGACATCTCTAAATTATGGCAAATAGCAATGCAGTGATTTTACTATGCAGTTATGTCTGTTTTTAATAACTTAAATAGCCTCGTACTCTTTTTAAGCTAAGAGAAAATGTGTAGTCTAAAATCAGAAGATGAAAAAAAAAAAACCTTGCAAATGAATCAACTGTGTCCATAGTTTAGGTACAATAATATTATCAATCCTGACCAGTCACTTGACTTCTAGCTTAGTTCCACAGTTATTTTAAAAGTTCCTGCCTCCTGACCATAGTAATAAACCTAATATTTTGCGGAGATAACTAATTTGCAACTTATCTAGTTCCTCCCCCATTATTTCTGAACAATATATAAAACACAGAACATAGAATCATAGGACGAAAATGGACCTCAGAAGTCTTCTAGCACAACCCATTGCTCAAGGAAGGAGACCTATACTATTAGTTTACTTTACTTTATTGTTATTATTAATAACTTTATTGTTATTATTGTCATTGCACCTCGTACAATGAAATTAAATGCCATCTTCAGCGTACATCTCATAAATAAGAAAACTATAAAAAAATAAAACAAAAACACACATCCTACATATTCTATACAGTTGAATTGAAAACCCCTGATACTGCATTAATATTACACTATACAGTAGAGTTCAATATAGTTACTGCTCTGGAATTAAAGCTGTTTTCAGCCTATTTGTCCTTGTTCTTATTATCCTGTACCATGTGCCAGATGGTAATAGTTCAAAAAAAAAGGTGCCCAGGATGAGATGGATCTTTAAGAACGTTTTGAACTTTCTTAAGGCAGTGGGAGCTATAAAGCGCTTCCAAGGAGGGGAGATGGCAACCAATGATGCTCTGGGAAATGATGTTAACCCTCTGGAACGCTGTCCTATCTGCCACTGTGCAATTAGCAAACCATACATAGGTGCAGTAAGTTCAAATACTCTCTATAGTGCAGCGGTAGAAGGTCACTAGCAATTTTTCATTCAGTTGTTGTTTCCTGAGATTTCTCAAGTAGTATAATCTCTGCTGGGCCCTTTTGACCAGTGCTGCAATGTGAGCACCCAAAAGATAGTTGTCCAATCTCTTTTTAAAAAATAGAGAATCCACAGTTTCTGGGGGCAAGCCATTCCACTGATTAATCGTTGTCACCAACAGGGAATTCCACCTTAATTCTAGATAGGACTCTTTGATAAGCTTCCATCTGTCACTTCTTGTCTTGTCCTCAGTACTTTGGAGAATAGTTTGATAGTTTTACATGATCTTGAAACTATCCCTCTGTTGATGCAACCTTAGGATTGCATTAACTTTTTTGGAAGCTGCAATGTATTGCTGGCTCATACCTAACTGGAGGTCTACTAAGGCATCTGATCTGTCTTACAATTGTTGCTATTGAGCCAGTTACCACCTATTTTATAGGTGCATTTGTTTTTTCTTTTTGTTGTGTAGGACCTTACTTTTATCATCACTGAATTTTATTTCGCTGGATAGGACCCAGTATTCAATCTGTCAAGGTCTTCTCAATCTTGAGTCTATCACCTATTCCCCCCAACTTGGTGTCATCTGAAAATTTGATGAATTCTTCTTCTATCCCCCTCATCTAGATCATTTATGAAGATGTTGAAGACTACTGGGTCAAAGACAGAACGTTGAAGTACCCCATTGCATGTTTACCTTTGTATAGATGTAGTTCATTGAAGACTACCCGCTGGTTGGTCAGCCAGTTGTGAATCCATCTGGTGGTGGTACTATCTATCCCACATTGTTCTTTCTTACTCAAAAATAGGCAATGGTCTACTTTGTCAAATGCTTTACTGAGGTCTAAGTAAATTATATCATTATATGAGCAGTGAGGCATCTGCCTATCATTCATTTAAATACAAATAATAATAGTAATATTAATAATATTTGTTACATTAATCATACTTATGTAATTGTGGTGTTTTTATACATATTTGTATTAGAGTGTGTTCCTTCATTGTTTAATTGTTCAGTGTTTTTGTGCATCATTCTAATAACAATCACAATATTATTTATACCATCTTTCAATATTTAATCTTTACATCTAGTTATTACCTTTAATATATTATATAAAAATATGTATAATAATATTCCCTCTTGATCTTGTTTCTACCTCTGTTCTAGCTCTCAATAAAGCCAATCTTATATTAAACAGCATTCCCTTTCTAACCATCATCTCTTGCCCACTTTAATATTTCAATTCTTATTCATTTTTTGACTTGCCTCCCAAACTTCTCCCTTGGGTCTTTGTCTCTGTCTACATCTTTCCTATTTAACCAAAACATTTCTTCCATCTCTACTATCTTTTGTTGCCATACCTCTGAAGGATCTGCCCAAGACCCTATCTTCTCTTCAAAAACATCTTTCTTTTTATCCAATCCCATTTTTTAATCTCTTAATATATATTGTCCCTTATTTGATTCATAAGTCTTTATTTTCTTCTCCTTCTTCTCTTGTTTTATTTGTTGATTTATCTGTTCTGTCTTTTCCTCTGGTCTTTCTATTATCTCCTCTATTCCCTGTGTTTTATTATCTTTATTTATTGTCCTGTGTTGAACATTTTCTGATTTCCCCACAATGTCATGCATTAAGTCTTTGATCTCCCTGTGGTTCTTTATCAATATATCATAAGTACTTTGGAGAATCAACACCATTTCTTTTTGAAATCGACTCATCTCTCCCTGATGCAACATCTTGTCTTATTTTGATAGGTCCAAATATTGCTCAATAGCTGTCAGTAGTCTGTTACCACCCCAAAGTCTCAATTGTCTATGACCTCATAAATCCAGTTTAGAAACTGTTTGCTAAATCTTAAAGTTGCTCCTCAGGGGAATGCAATAGTTATAATTCTCTGTGCCCCAAAATTAGTCAATTAATTCCATTTAGGTAATCGAGGAAGATTTCCAAATGTCTCCTTAAGTCCATTCTGTAAGTTCAGTCATAGTTCCTGGAATTTAAAAGTCACTTTCTTTAGAAGTCTTCCATAATCTCACAGTTAAATCTCCAATAACCATGAAGTAGACAGATATAGAATAATAGATAGCACAGCAGTCCTCCAGATGTTATTTATTTCCACTTTTTTCCATCTTACCAGTACTTCCCAAGATTGTAGCAGTTTAATGTATATTCCATTCACCAATAGATGGCTCCTTCAGTTTAAATTTCAATGCACAAAGTCTAACAAATATTTATTTCAGTTTTTTGCAAATAGTCAATGTTCAGATGAATAATTCCAGCATTTTAAAATGCCTTACCAAAATACTGCTAATAAAGTTTGAAAATCCAATCTTTCTATATTTTAAAGATTTTGCGCTTTCTCTTTAGTTCCTTTTATTTTGGGTCTATAATTTTTCTCTGTGTAATTATTCACCGCTTTGACAAGCATTTCAAAAAGTCTCTTTTCCAGGGTTTATTTTCTTTGGGGTTAGGTTCTAGGTAAAAAAAAAGAATCACCTCACCCATTCCAATCACTGTTCATCTACACTGCTCCAGCACATTCTTTGTTTCTTCGGCTGCCCCAGCTTCACGGCAGCCATAATGGCTGTCTCTCCTCTTCATTGTTGGATGGGAGGCAATCCCTGGGTCCAGCTGGAAAGCCACCACTCTGCAACCTGCATGGTGCCCCTCCTTTCTTCATCACCCCTACAGGGTGACTTTAGCCCCTAAGGGGCCCTCCAATGAGGAGGATTCGACGCAAGTTCGGGGACCCCCACTCCTCGCGTCCGGTCTCACCACACCATCAAATCAGAAGTCCATAAATTATATCCATACTGTTTCTCTTATCCACTAATTTCATCATTTTGTTGAAGAAGGCAATAAACTTTAACTAGCATGATCTGTTTTTAATATACCCATGCTGGCTTCTATTGTCTTGCTTGTTTGTAGATGCTCACAAATGCATTGCTTTTCTTTTCCAGGATATTCCCAGATGTCCATCTATAGTTTCCTGGATCTACTCCCCCCCCCTTTTTTTTTACAAAAAAATTGGAATCATATCAATTCTTTTCCAGTCCTCTGGCAGTTCTCCTGTGCTCCAGGATCTTTGAAAAATATGGTTCAGTGGTTTTGAGATCACATCTCTCAGTTGCTTCAGAACCCTGTCCAGGTGATTTGAACTTGTCTAGAGTGGATCTTATCATTTTCTTGCCTATTTTGATTTATATTCCTATTCTCTCTTCTACAGTGCTGATTTTGTAGGTTGGGCTGTTTTTTTTCCCCTTTTGTATGAAAATACAGTAGATGCAAAGAATGAATTAAACAATTCTGCTGTCTCCCTACTACTCATCACCTCTTTGCCATCTTTTCCCATTAATGCACCAATCATCTCCTTTATTTTTTTCTTGTTTCTTACATGTTGAAAAAAACTTTTTAAAATTATTTTTTGTATCTGTTCATTCTAAGCCTTAGTTTTCCTGACTTTGTCCATGCAGATTCAAGCTATTTGCTGGTATTCTGTTTTAGTCATATGTCCCTCTTTCCAAGTCAGCACTCTTAAAGTCAAAGACAATCATTTGGCTATGTTCAATTACTTGTGCTGCATTGTGTTGAATTCTAGTATGTCATGGTCACTCTCCCCCAAACTTCAATCCCCTGTATAATTTCAACTTTGTTAGTAAGAGTTAAGTCTGGTAGAGCTGACCCTCTTGTTCCCTTTTCTACCTTTTGGATGACAAAGTTGTCAACTACGTTTATTAGGAACCTATTTGATCTCCCACTTCGTACACAGTTTGTCTCCCAGTTAATTTCAGGG